TATAGATATCTCTATATCTATAGATATCTCTATATCTATAGATATCTCTATATCTATAGATATATCTATAGATATCTCTATATCTATAGATATCTCTATATCTATAGCTATAGATATAGCTATAGATATAGCTATATCTATAGATATATCTATATATATATATCTATAGATATATCTATATATATATATATCTATATATATCTATATATATATACTGAAGTGTGAAACAGCTCCTTGATACAAAGCTCTGCCTCTTCACCGTCCTGCTGAACTACTTCATTTATCAAATCAAACTGCAAGTGAAAATCTATTTTTACCACATGCTCCCTATTTGTGGAGCTAAGCGTTTGAACAAGATGTCATGCTGATGTAGTCCGTGAAGGCATCAGCTGTACATGCAGCTCACATGCACGGATCCTAACTGTTTATGTTGTGTTCCAGGCTGCTGTATTTATGAGAAGCCCCGGCAGTTTGGAGAGTCGTCCTCTGAAAGCGAGGGAGACGATGATGATGAAGGGTGCGGCAGTGCTCACTGTATCCTGGGCCACGACAGGAGAGGCCCTGGACAGAGGGGGGGTGGAGGGACCACAGGGCCCCCAAACTCTGGAGGGTCACACAACCACTAGTGAGCCATCAGGCTGAATGTGGGCTCTGAGGGGTTTCTCACCATGACAACGACTGCACTCTTCTTTTTTTTTTTTTGTTTGTTTGTTTGGTTCCATCACTGAAGTACAGGTAGGAGTCAGCAGCTGGAGCAGGATTACTGCCGCTCTGTACTTCACAGAGCTACATGGATTGTTGAATGAGCCTAATTCTTTCTACAGATAAAAGCATGCTCAGTATTGTGCCAACTGACATGCGTCACATGGAATGATGACTACAAGTTCACATTTACAATGTCTTAAAGGAGACATGCGGTAGTGATTGTTGCATGTTTTAGCCCGTTTACTACGGATCACACACGGTGTGCATCACTGTACATCACCGCTGAGCATTCTCCAAAGCAGCTAGCAAAATGGTAGCATTAGCAATGCTTTCCTATTTCCTATTTAATTCACTATGCTATGACAATAAACCGAGGTTTGTGATCCATCACAGTGAACATCACGGCTGCTTTTATTTCTGTCCGAGTTGTTATGCCGATATGCAATTAAGTTTTCAACTGATGACTTTTTCGTAATTGCTTAATCTACTTTAATTGTTCTCAAGTAATGGAGTAGTGAACTGAGTGCATCTCTCTATTCAGGACTCTGGGTGATGAACATTCACTTTGTCTGGAACCAGTGAGGGTGTGACATCTTTAAGAGAACCTGTGCAGATTCATTCTGTCAACCTACCGAATGACACATGGACAAATCAGGACAGCTCTATTAAAGATTTGTTCCATTTTATCAAAATGTCAGAAAAGCTTTAGAGCTATAAGTTGACATCTTAATGTGGCTTGTTCTGTCCAAAAACCCAAATATATTCCCTTCACAATTATATGCTCAAGTATTATTATTCTGGCGGATTTAGCTGATTACATTTCTTTTTTGTCTTTTTTATTTATTTATTTATTTATTTTTTACCCAAAACATCAGCCTGCACTTAGACCTGCGTTACCCCCCCCCCCCCCCTAAACTCTTCCAACAATAAAACAGGAAATGATGGATTACAAGTTGTTACTGCCTGGGAGTCAGGACGAAGGGAATCAAAACCCTAGTTATCATGCTTTGGAAAATTGTCGGCAGCAGTAATGTAAACAAAATGTGATGTCATAAATGAGCCAAAACATGTGAAGTCACTGCTGTGTGGTGTAGTGATGTCACCAGGTCAGAAGACAACATGCATCCTTCTGTCTCCTCAACACATACAACATGATGGATGCTGTTCAGCCCTTCAACATGCAGTGCTGATCAAAGCACTGGACTGTACCATGTTTGAGCCCGTTTACTACCAGTCACATTGGTCATCTTCACATAGCTGCAGACCATGCGACTGTCTCTAGAAGTCAGATTGGCATCCTGTAGGAGAACGAGTGGACTTCAATGGCTACAACGGGTTGGAGTGCTTTGGATCCGCAGTAATATAAAGAGCTTGTGATTTTGTCATGAATGAACTGAAACATATAGAGCACTACATGTTATCCCATCTCTGCGGAGTTCAGACATCTTTGCCCAGACAGTTGTAACTCCAGCAGGACATGCTGGAGCTCAGCGTGCAGGTGGGCCATTCAATGCTGAGGTTATGTATGAATACAACACTTTGCTTTTTATTCTTCATTTATTGCTGGACTTCATTGTAAACATGCTAACACTTGATATGCAGTCGACCTCAGTCCGTGTAGTAACATTGCAATCACAGACCATTCTGTGAGATTTAGACGTTCTCCCTCTTGTTTAGTTGAGTGAGTGCTGTCTGTTTCTGGTTTAAAGTTTAGTGACGGATGCTGACGGAGCATATTGCATAAGACTGATTATATTATGATGGTATGATCTGTAGGACTACGTGATCAGGGCCCTGTTCTTCATATGTGGAGGACTTCATTAACTTGATCAGTGAAACTACATATGGAGGCCGTGGGTCTGGGTAGCCATGAGACCAGTCAGACTTGTAGCGCTGCCTCCTCAAATTACAGATCCTTGTTGATGATGAGACCTCACTGATGGAGTGTTGGTGTCTGTCACTTTAAAACCCTCTGCTGCTTTCATTGCTCGATCTTTAGATGAATCCATTGTATCCACTGGACAATCCTAGAAACAACGACTTTTAGTTTATTTGGTTGCACAGGGTGGTAGTGAGTGAAGTCAGGTGGGAGATGGGGGTCGGTGACCACACCAGTGGGGACAGCTGTTCTGTTAAGTCATCGTTTGACTCTGCACTCGATTTAAAGACTGAGGCTATGTGTGCGCTGCAGGATGACTGACTGCTGTTTAATGCGGTGAGGTAACTGGATACAGACACAGTGTTCAGTGATCAGAGTTCTTCTCAACAGTGGAGGTGCATGACTGCTGCCTCAGGCTTTGTACTCATGTCTCAGCTATGACCAAAACATACCGGATACAGACTCCATCATCACCCTCATCCTCTGCAGTTTCCTGCCATGTTTAATATGTAACAGAAGTGTGAAGCACACCACGCTCTGTGCCATCTCTTCACGTTGACATTGTTACAGATGTACATTGTTCTTGTACTGGTACTGCACCTTTCTGTATATACTATTAAGCATAATGAAAGCAGGTTTCATGTGAATTAAAGTTTTAAACTGATTAAAGTGGCCTCCATGTGTGTGTTGTGTATTACATAGGATTATGACCCTAAAGGCTCATGAATCAGCATGTGAACATCTTTTATTTCTGCGGACCTAAAGACAAGTCTCTGGTGATGGTTTTAAAAGATGAATCCATGTCTTCATCTGCAGTACAGAATAAATATTACAAACGGATTCTGTGATCTTCAACTGGTTCACCAACCGAACAGCAACATCTGGCTCATGACCCCACAGGTTTTGAATGTGGGGATACTGTAGCACAACATCACCGACACGAGGAGGACCTTAAGTCAACTAAGAGTCAAACGGTATCACTTTAATACTGGACACACTGCAGCTCAAATATGGTTTGATTCTAAGCTAAAAAACATGTTCTTACTTAAAGTGGTGAACTTTGCTGTATAATCAATAATGGAATTGCCAGAAATTAAATTTGTCCAATTTCTGAATGTCATTGTCATGCTAGTGTGACATGTACAGAAAGTAAGTGAGGCCTGGAGATCATTTAATATCCGGTTACTACTCACTAGGTAACGTATCGCTTCAACATCACAATCACATCCTGGTACTCTGAACTACTGCATGAAAAGCGATGCTCTTTAGCTCAATTATCTGCAGGGTTTTTTGCAGCATACTGAAAAGACAAAACAAATGTCTGCCAGGAGGGTATCAGAACCCCACTGTATGTATGGCCTCTGTATGTATGGCTGTGGCTCTGAGACAGTGCGGGTCGTCTTCCAACTGGAAGATCGCTGGTTTGATCCCCGGCTCCTCCAGGACTGTCCAGGCCGCATGTCAAAGTGTCCTCGGGTTAGACAGTTCATTCCCCCAAAGGCGATGCCGTCGGTCCGTGTCATCATGTAACGGAGTTCATTTAGGTTTAGGGTCGTGATGGCAGGTGGCACATAAACCGGGTAAATGATCACATGTAGTGTTAAAGCTGTGAGTGGTCAGAAGACGAGAAAGGTGCGATATTAAATACAAGTCTGTTTACCATTTAAATGATTTGTAATGTGTCTTTACACCAGCGTGGTCCTTTAAACTACCATACTGTTTGTTTTCTTCTTCTTTGGAAATGTTAGAAGTTTGTGTTGGTTCTACTGAAAAGCTTCTCCCAGCACAATAAACAAATGTGCAATCAATATCAACCATCAATATGTCATGCAGGATTTCAGAAAGATGTGTAGGAAATGAAAAACAAGCAGACGTCATAAAAGAGAATATTTATTGAGCCGGTGGGGATGTAACCTCAGAGCAGTATGAATGAGATGTACAGTAATGTACAGTAATAGCTCAGAGGTCCCAGGACTGACTGCTCTCCTTACTCTGATACAAACAATGAATAAAAGCAGTGTCACCTTGTTGGGACAGTTGTTCATGGACATGTTAAATGTTTTCATTTGTGTGCACAAATGAAAACATTTAAATTTCAAATCTAATTTTACTGCCTGAAAATACATCAATACTGTAATAGATGATATATAAAATAAAAAGGACAGCGCCAATAGTGTTCAGTACACTCTTAACTTAACACAGCCATAATAATGGAATTGAAAGGGAGACAATGTGCAACTTCAACTTGAAAACGAAAACGGCACCAGACTTTATTACCTGATTAGAGTTTCAACCTCTTTCATGAAACCTGTTAGTCAACTATTATCAGGTTGACCAAGAAAAAGAGACATTTTGTTTTCATTAGTAACAATATAAATCAAAACATTACTCAAATTATAGTTAAATGACTGCAACGAACAATTCTTTTCTTGACGTTTATTTGGTGTGTAAGATGTAAAACAACAGAGAAATGGCCCTCACGCTTTCCTAAAGCGCAAGGTGCTCTTCAAAGGACTTCTTTTGTTGTGCTAACCATTCAGCAAACTGACAACTGAGATATTGGAACTAGTAAGTCTTTGGCATTTCTACTAGAAGTGAAATGCTTGATTTTCTGCCATATCTCTTCCTGTCTGAGTTATAGAATGTTCTCTGTGTGTCCAGTGTGACAGCGTGAGGAACAACTACAGAGGGCTACTTGAGCTTCGGTAGCTGTGAGGCTCAATGCTGCTCAAACACTTCCTGGTTCATCGTCGCTTGTGTTACATCACAAAATATAAGTACAGAGGATGTTTACAGTGTAGATTTGACAGCATTGTCTGCTTACTCGGATACTCAGGCTTCAGCTGCAGCAGGATATGGCCGGTGGGGGCCCTCCAGAATCTGAGCCCTCGAGAGCAAACAGCGACTTGCCCTCGATGCCAACAGAAACACATTTATTCTGCTGGGCAGTTTTTGTTTGACGCTGTCGCCACCGACATCCCAGAGCGAGCCGTGAGTGTGTCACTACTATGCATGAACGTTCTGGTCCTCACTGGGACAGAGGTGGGCTGAAGACCTTCAGCAGGATCCAGAAGATCAACTGGACAAGAGAGATCCGTGGTTGGGCCGGTCTTTGTCATTCGAATTGAATGGTGTGCCTCTGAAGAAGAGTGAGCAGCTGATCAGCAGGCAGCCAACAATGTGTAGAGCTGGAATATCTTCACATCTCACTCTGGGAATTCAAGATCTGTTTGGACCAAAGCAGAGCCTCTGATGGTTGGAACAGTGGAAAGACCAAGACGTGTTTGGTGAGTGCTACTTTGTATCCGTCCAGTTTCAATGAAGCGTGTTTTACGATGAGTTAACCAGGTCAAGACTAGTTCAGTGTAAAAGAGAAACTTGAATTCAGAAGGTGAACAGTTGTATTTTTCTGCATCCTGATCAATAAAGAAATTGTCTGGAGTTTCTTTCCTCAGTGGACTACAGCTACCATCAGCAGTGATTGGACGTCCACATAAAAGGTGAAGAATATTCCCGTTCAACAAGCAATCCATCATCAACATAGTTGCAGATAACTTTTCTGTCAACTAATCGATTATTCCAGCCCTGAATATGCAATTTCATTTTCATGTTCAAGACAATCTTACATTTAGTTTCATGTCATAATGGAGTGTTCTGGAGAACACTGAAATGACTTTTTTCTTTTTCATTTTGGTAGCAGTTCTGCCTTTTCATAAATATGTGATTTTATCATCGATATTCTAATTTGGTCATACATCATGTGCACACAGTTGGACAATTACATCTCAATAAGATCATTTAATTACAATATTGTTCCACATCTTACAGGTGAGCAAACTTAGCCATGTTTTTATGAATAAATGGATTAGAGGCGTATGCTATAAATAGAATGTCTGATGTGGTTAAATACATTAGTGTTGAATATAAAGCATGCTATTGTGCACTAAAACCAGAATATTATCTCTGTACCTTTAAATCTAAAGCATGGTATGGAAGATAAAGCCCATAAAAATGCATACGTGTGGAGAAAAGGTCAGTTTGAAACAAGCAATATCATAGCAGAGGAAATAGACATGAAGTAAAAAACGACACATGAGAATGTGCTGCTGGTATTATGTGTTACTGAAAACCTCCAAACGGATACTTACTGACTGTGTCATGTTCTTAATGAGTTCATGTTATATATAAAGTACTGTATGCCTCGGGAACACCGTTATATATATTTATAGTATTTAACTATCACAGCCGACTGCAATTAGATGCTTGTTCCAAAAAATACTGTACATCAAAGCAACCAAAGCATTTCATTCATTTAGTCCTCGGTCTCACACACATTGTATTTGTAAGTGACTAACGTTGGACGTCTTATGGCTTCAGTAGGTACGTGTAGTGCGAGTGTATCTCAGTGACACTGACCCCATGTGGACATCAGCCTTCTGTTCATCAGTGATGTCACAGAGCCGTGAGTAACACAAACATGACTCAGCACGATCAGACGGGAAACAAAGCGGTGCTGCACGTTGTGGTCCGGGAGTGTCATGTTTTACAGTTGAACTAAAGGAGAGCTGGGGAGACATTTAATGGGACTTTGCCTTAAGATGGTGGCCAACGACAAAACCCAAATCCAAGCCTCAGAACACAGACACTAGTCTATGGTGAAACTGCCCTCCACGTGATAGAACTGTTCACTTGATACGGACTTCATTATGAAACTCCTCTACACAGAGCCTGAACAGGTTCCTTGTCGCTGCAGTCAGTGAGGATTGTAAGCCTTTTGACCCGACCATCAGGGGCACTGTGAGACTCTTCTGTCCTGAATCACAGCTTCGTCCAGTCCCTACACGGTTTCCTCTGACCAGGTCGTTATAAGTTTGCCTCTTTCCTTCTTTCTTTTCTCCTCGTGGTGATGCCTACAAATTCAGATAATGCAAGCTGTGAATTTGGTTCTTTTGGGTTCAAATTTGTTCATTTCTTCACACCCAGAATGCACCACAGGCAGTCACCTGGTCCCAAACTGGTCTGATGGTGAATCGTGACAGAAGTAGTCCCTCAGGACAAGAATTACAACGCAACAATAAAAAGCAACAGAGTGATTCTTTCTCTTCTTTGAACGTTCATGGCTCCTTTTATTACTGAGGAGTGGTTTACTTTCTGATACTGAACTTTGTACTGCGATCCATGTGAACAACATTCAGACTGAGGACACATCAATAGTGTTATAGTGTTGAGCATAAAGTGACATGAGTAAAACTTCGATGAGTTTGTGATGAAGGTGCAATACAATTGTTTAGTGACACTGCAGAGCCCAGAGGTGCAGAACAGCGTCCCGCTGGAGGAGGCCTGGTACCGCTGGACTGATGTCGACTCCTCAACACTCTGCGACTTCTCTGCGTCTGTGGAAAAGACAGAGATCACTTAATAAGCAGCTCTTCTGAACAGCAGAGCTCCAACATGAGGTGGCCGTGTGCAGAGGCTGGTGCTGGCCTCTGGTTGGTGCAGTGCCATTGGAGTTCTGGAAACCTGGACACTGCCCTATGATCAAAATAGGTCACATATGAACTCATCAAATGAACTACAGGAGGCTGGTTTTCTCCACATTGATTTGGATCATTTTTGGTCTTAATTGAGCAGTTTTGGCCTCATTTCTATCGGTAACTACCACAGTTTGTTTACTTCAGGTGAGCTCTGTTTTTGGTCACTGCTTGGTGTCAGACATCCAATCAACAATCCTCTCTATACATCCAAATGTACACGGTATGTTATAGTAGGCTGTAACTCTGATGGTGCATTTCTCTGTTAACAGACTAACATGAAGAGTGAAGCAGTGGGAGAGCTCTGTGAATCCTTTCATTGTGTGGTTCCTGCTGGTTTCACAGCACTCAGACAATGTCACACTCCTTTCTCTATGGCAACACATTCTAAATAGATGAAGAAGGCCTTACTGTGTGAGAGTATGTGAATGCGTGTTCCTCTTACAGTACCTCAATTAGAAACGTGCATTAAGGCCCTGTGTCATATCAGCTGATCCCGGCCTGTAATCAATATGGAAAATACAGCAACATGTAAAGCACACTGGCCTTCTGTAGGCTGTCGGACACACAAAGAAGCCGAGAAGGTCGACCAGTCTGTAAGTCTGGTATCATTGTGATCACTAGTAATCGGACTAAAGAAAGATATTCTGCATATTCTGGGCACAGGCCAAGAACAAAGAGCTAGCAGAGGACTTATTGCCAAATAAAAAGAATTAGGTATCAGTATCAATCAGCACAACTTACTCAACTGTGGCCAAAATGAGAGTCGGACTATTTTTATATAACACAGCTAACTAACCACTCAGTTCACTATAAAAAACGAGTCAACATCTGGCATTGAAAATCTTATTGAAGTAAAAGAACAGATTGATGTTTTCAAAAAGAAAAGTACTTGTTCTGCAGAATAACTGCCCGTGTGAGTGATATATTAGTATGTTTTGTATTGTAGTTATCAGTGGAAGTAGTATTTTGTGTCACGCTGGAACTATTTCAACTACTTTCTAGTTTATTGGATATTAAAAGACCATCATACCTTTTGAACTTGAAAACTGAACCTGCCAAGTAAGTAGTTAGTGATATACCTCTCACATGGACTTTAGAGGCCAATACTGATATTGATAGCTGAATATTTCATATATGGTAATGGTATATCAACAAATACTAATAAACATAGACACAATAAGCCAATTGTGTTGCTCCTTTGTTTGGCTCAAGTACATATATTTGTCAGATAAATGTAGTGGAGGAGAGGTACAAAGCAGGGCAGAATGGTTCACACTCAACTAAAGTACCTCAAAGTTGTACTCTAATAGTACATAAAGACTAAAGGACAGCTGGAATCCCTCCATCGCACTCACTAAATCTCATACACAATATTCATTAAATCCTTTGTAGAGGAAATATTGGTTCATGTATTATAGTCACTTATTATTATTACTGTGGCCCATGAGCAGGGCTCATCGTGGCCTCCAGACCTTCATCACATCACCCGAGTGAAGCTGCAGATTGAGCCCAGCTGACCTCAGCTAAGCTACCTGCACTGACCATGCTGTCTGTCTACTCACCTCCTCCTACTGTTCATAGTGATCTAAAGCTCGGAGGTTTCTGGTTTGGGACTTTTTGAAATTTAAATTGAACTTATGCATTCATAAAACCAAAACACTACTGAAAACACATATAGCAGGTGTTCAAATGTAACCTGAATATCACATGAGATGCACGAAGGGGCTTACCTTAGGTTTAACTTGTCTTCACCATGTCCTTAGCAGACACAAGCTTTTCTTTAAGTTCCCCACTGTCTTTCATGTCTTCGTTCACTGTGGCCTCCTCATCATAGTCTTCTTTTTCTTCCTCTACGCCGAGGATCACACTCTGACGAACACTGACAGAGATCACCAATGCCTGGATGATGCCATAGATCAAAGCAAACTGAGGGAGATACTCCTGGATCAACCAGAGTAGTCCTGCCATTCCAACTGTGGAGACAAAAAACATGGCCATACCGTGGAACCACAGCCTCAGAGCTCCCTGGACCCCCAACACCTCCAGGATCAGCTTGGCAGGGGGGGACACGGTCCACAGAAAGCCAACAACAAACAGATCAAACAAGTGGCGGAGGAAGTTGAAAGAGATCTCGTAGTGCTCTGGAAGGATTTCCACCTTCAAGCTGTGCGCAAAGATTCGGAAAGGAGATGTCAGCTCAGAGGAAGGAGGCGTAGGAGACAGAGGAGGCGTTTCGTAGTCAGAAAAGTCCCCATCAATATCACAGTCATACACATCTCCACTCCGACCATCACGTTTCCTTCGTCTTAATCCACTTGGTTCTGTTTTGCTTGGCCACGAAAGGTAAGACGTTGGGAGATATTTATTCCACCATCTAGAAACATGCTCTGAATTTGCACTCATCTCCTGTTTCCCAGCGCTGAGGACTTCTATTGCCATGGGCGGAAGCTTCTCCTGCGCCTCCCAGTACTCCTCTGCTGGACTACTTTGGTCATTTTGACACCGCCACCCTCCCCAGATCCAAGAGGTCCACCCCCCCGTGCCGTGATTATGGCCCTTGGTTATCCCCGGTGTGGTATTCTCTGACACTGCACTGCTGCCCCATGAGCGCACCCACCCCCATGCTCGGCCTACCACAGCCGTCATGCTTTCTCTGAGCGTGTTGGAGTTGAATTGAAAGTGAAGACACGCAGTTTTCAGCTCCTCTCGCTGACGTTGTCCCGGCAGCTCTGTGAGCTTACTGGAAAAGCATGCATGTACTGTCGGTTCAGTTGTAAAGTTGTAATACTTGTTCACAAGGATTCAGGCCGAGACACATACGTCCTCAAGCCATAGACACACCTGTGGGTGTGTTTGAGCAGCTCAACAGACAAAGTGACACCTCCCGCTTACAATGCTCTTAATGAAATGACAGCATTTGTAAGTCAGGCTTCTCGTCTACATGTCTTTGGTTTAACCTGGCAACCATTGGCCAAGGTTGCTTTCAAATAACTCAAAGTCACCGTAGAATATGCACAATGAGCAGGTTAGCACCGGCTAGCTCCTAGTGAACAGGTTGAGTTGACTTTTTAAACGTCAACCGACTACAATTAATGTCATTGTTTGACAAACTTCTTCAACTTTTCAGTCTTTCGGAACACATTGCTTCAGTCTTCACACCTGCAAATCAAACAGAAGAAGCGTTAACGTTAGCTGAACCGTCTGCCCAATCACACGTCAACGTGAATAAGAGTTAGCTAAGTTCCACGTCTTCATAGTCGTGCAGCTTTTTAACGTTATTAGAAAGACAGGTTGGTCAGCAACTAACGTCAGCTGGCCAAACCTTTACTAACACATTTATGGAAAAATGTTTGTCGAGTTTTGGGTGTCTCAGCTAATATGATAAATAAATGCTTACCTTCAACTACGTTAGCTTGAGTTTGTCCGTCAGACCGTAAGCTAGTCCTCTTGTTAGCATCAAATAAGTCGGCACACAGACCCAAGTTGCTCAACTTCTGGAGGCCGTGTTGGAAACACACTGACGGGTTTATTGTTTGGATTTAGCTTCCAGATAAAGCTCAGTAATGTATTTCTACCATTGACGGTGCTGCTAACCAGCAACAAAAAGGTAACGTGCACCGGAACGTTTACAGTTAACTACCTAGCTAATGAGAACAAATACGGACTACCGGTTAGGTGTCGTCCTTCAAAATAAAACGATACTTGATCGTCTAACTTAGTTCATGCGTATGCTCTTTACTAGGTTCCGCGCTTTCAGCACATTCCAAGCGCACAGGTGGCCGCAGTCTTACCCGCTGACATTTACTTTAAGACACCAGTATTTTTGATTGCGGGTGTAGCCTCAAATACATGTTCAGCGTTTGAAATAGTCAACCAGGTGATTACATTACAGCTGGTCACGTGGAGAGCCGTTTGGTTTTATAGTCTTAACCAAACAGCCCTCCTTCAAGTAGCTGCACGGCACTAAAGTCAAGTTAGAAAACATGCGAGCATTTCTAAAAATGCACACTATGTCATGCTGCCTAACAGTCTGTTGGAGGTACATGTACACTGGAGGATCGAGTCACCAGCTACCAACTGGATGAGGTTTGGTACTTCAGCTGCCTCATGTAATCCATCATTCAGTATGTTAATAGGTTTGCATTTAAAAGTCAGAAGTTTTAATGCAGCAGTGGTCAGTGCCATTAGTTACAAAACTAAGTCCATAATTGTGTAGTACTAGAGTCCATTTCCTGTCTTTTTATTGTAATAAACCTGCCTTCACTGAAAAAAGAAAAAAAAAGCTCAAGTTCTTTTCAACCATTTATTTGAAATGTCTTTAAATACGTACATCCACATGCCAAGGGTTAAAGGAAAGAGCCTGTTTATTTATATGAACAGTGACAGTGGATTCTTCGTTTCCTGGATGATGGTATGGACCCGTCTTTGACGCTTGCAGCAGTTCAGGACTGTCATCCAGCTTGGGCTGCCACCGTCGTACCTGACAACATAGAAATATCAGTGACTAGTGTTTGACTTCCACAAGTTCCTCAACAGAAGCTCAAGCAGTCCGAGTGTCTCAGTGCGCTGCGAGTAGACTTCAGTTTACATCAGTAGAACCAAATAACTGAATCATCATAGACCAAACTCAGACAAAAGCTATGGGAGAAAAGCTCGAAGCCCCATTTGATGGCCCTAACCAAGAGTTCTACACATCATTAAGGCATTAGTCAATATTACAGCAGATTATAGCCCAGACACTTCTGCATTACCTCAAAAATGAAACCATCATTGGGCTGAACTTTGAGAGAAGTTGGTGCTCGCAGCTGTTCGTTCGAATGTCACGGTGACTCCTTTCTGTCAGCGTGGTGACGAGCTACAAGGCAAATAAATGTGCATCAATATCCACATGGCAGAACAACGACCACGCACGGCTGGATGTTTTACCCTTCTACTGCAATCAAGTAGTTTTTTCCAAAGAAACTAACCTGTACGGTTCTGGATAACTGGGTCAGTTTCATTGCAATACGGTGGCAGCAGAATGCAGATGTACTTAATATAACCAGGCCTAAGGGTAAGTAAGACAATGTTTGTGAGCCAAACCCGAGTTTAGTGAATAATAAGTGGCATTACTGAAGTGATGCAGTACAATCGTTTTTCCGATACTGGTGCTAAAATGATACTTTTAAAACGACAACTGTGCTTAAACCGATACTTTTTTCTGCAAATTGAACAATAGATTAACTGTTAAAGTATACCATCAATATAAATAAATGCAAAACACTTTACTTTAAACTACAGCTTCAAACTTTTTAACTTCAAACTATGAATATATTAACTGTTTGAACAGTTTACAGTATACTTAAATAAATAAATACAAAACACACACAGTACACACTACAGCTTCAAACTTCAGCAATTATTTTGCAGAAATATGAGCATATTTGCATTCTCTTGCAAAATACGAGCTCTCCCGACTTATTTTATTTAACCAGTTGGTGGCGCTAATGCGCCAATTCGTCGTTTGCCAACCGCCACTACACCTCAAAGAAGAAGAAGGTTTCGCATGCCTGTTAGCGCCAAGTACCCCGATGTCGATGGAGGAAGTCAGTAGCCTGCCAGCAGTATGACAGATCCGTTCTGTTTTTTAATAAATCATGGCCGAAGCTTCGTCAGAATGATGGAGGGGTTTGTTTCTAAGCGTGCACGGCTCGTCCGGTTGTAATAATACTATGAGTCATCAGAGTAGTGTAGTATTTAATAAAAAAAAAAAAAAAAAAAAAAAAAAAAAAAAAAAAGTGTATTTCAATCGGCTCAGGCACCGAAAGGAAGCACCGAAATCTGCGTTGCATTTCGGTCCGGTCGTATAGGAACCGGTACCATACCGGCACCGGTTTTCGGCACCCAACCCTAATCACACCACCATAATGCCTTTCATAAAAGCAGACATGTTGTAATGATAAAGAACTTTTCATGCGTCTCCATGATGTAGAATAAAATAGGTTGTGTTGTAGAGGGCAACTATGAATTGTCCAGCAGTTCTGTGATTTGCAGTAAAAGGGGTAAAACATAACACCAGTGGCATAGTTATGTGGTCAGTGCACTGTGAAAACATCTTCATGCTTTTGTCAGAGACTCTAGTCTAGTAAATCATCATTCCACATAGAACTACAGAACAGAGGCTTTTAGATCCCAGACTTACCTAGAGAGCAGCCTCCAGCTAGTCCGATACTTTAAACACCTGGTGAGTACAGAGAGGACAGCATCAGAACCAGTTCTCATGTTCACAGTTTGTACTGAGAATCGGTAATATGCATGCTCAGTGCACTGTGAAAGAGCATCATGTATAATCAGAGACTCTAGTCTAGTAAATCATCACAGTAGCATATTGTTCTCATAGCACATCATTCAGGGGCATCAGTCCTGGTCCTCACCATGGCTGCAGACCTCTCCCTGAAGGCAGGACCTGTACTGTAACACCAAGCATGCAGGAGAACCGTGGTCCTCAGATGCACCCAGCTTCAGTCAGTGAGCCTGAAACAGCAGGAGAGTTCATTTCTATTACTCAGTCAAGGGTTGTAGTTCCTTTCTCATGAAAGCACTTTAAATTAAATATACATCTGTAGCAGTTTAAAAAAGTAGGGACACTGAAACAACATCTTCAGGATCAGATACTGTAAGTTACTTGGATTGCATACAGATGTACACGTGACATACATATTAGGGCAGACTAATGGGCTGAGAAGAATTTTAAATTCTGCATTTAAAGCGTGTTGTCTGGAGAGTTGAGAAAATAAAACAGTAAATTTTGAAATGGCATGGGGTCATTGTATTTATAACCTGTAGTCCTACAAACTCGGGTTGCAGACTCTATCCAGGAGGATCAGTTAAAGCATTTCTGTACAATGGCGACCTCACTTTGGAGTCACACTATTTAAGTTACTTTTCATATTTATCTCAGTAATATAAACTAATGTGTAATACAACTAAATTTGTTTGGAGGGTTATTTTAGAATATATGCCACTTAATTCTGATAAATGTAGTGTAGCCTCTTATTTAACTACCACATTAACGTTCGTAATGCACTCAAACATGCAGCCAATGAAGGACTGCTTTTCTGAAAACTGCAGCCACGTGGCATTTCTCTTAACGGTATAATAACCACCGACTCACTGTATTCATCCACCTCCAAGACTGGTTCTCTCGGAGTTCCTTGGACACAAAGTCTTCATATCAGTAACTTATCGAGGAGCCTCATTCTCTACTGAGAGAACGAGGAGGTCGCAGGTCCAAGGCAGGTCTCCTCCTGCCTCGTGGTCTTCTCACAGGGCCATGTGCACCGCGTGGAAGAAGCACAGCTGACGCTGCTCTTCTTCTCTTTTCATAAAGTAACCACGTCATACGCCTGAAACGCACGTAAGGAATATACTCGCAGTGTTCAACGTTACCTTCCATCGTTTCTTTTTAAGTATCGAAATCTGTGAACACTCCGGTTGACTAGTGTTCACGTCCTACTGTGTAAAGCGCCGCCAGAAAGAGGATGATCAACGTCCGGCCAGGGTTTATATACACTGGTCCTTCACAGCACCCACGTGATTTTGGTGTCCCCAATAATGCCTGTTTGTGCAAATTATACAACAGTCTATGTAAAATATACCATGGATTAAATGTACATTTCAACAAAGAGAAAGTACAAGAACAACGTCAATACAAAGGGACCATTCATGTTTCATTACTATGGACATATGTTTTTCCCCCTTTTGGGGTACTTATAAAGTAAACTAATGTCTCATTTGAAGTCTTAAGATGTTCATTTTAGCAAATTTCTTATCAATTTGAGGCAATTTCATATGAATAGGAAGAAAGGGTCGAAAGGGAATACATATAACACTTACAGATATGAGCCGCAACAAAAACTAAAGCTATCTGTCTTTGACTATTCATCCAAAATGTAAACTTGGCTGTATGAACCCATGGAATTTGAACTATTTGAGCTGTGGTTTGTGGGTTTTTCTGGAGGACCTATTTGACAGGGTACTCAAGCTCAACTCTGAAGCAGGATGGAGCTATTCTTTGGCTACTTTTCAATATTTGAATTATTGTACAGCAAAGGCAAGCTTATTGTAGTGATTGAACTACAAGTACCACCAATCGTTTCGCCTTGTGGATGCCAGGTTCTCTTGGGTTAGCCGGGAAGCAGCAGTTTGAGCACTACGCCCTCTGTGGGTTTTACAACTTGTATCTGGCAACACACTCAGACGCCACTCTCACTGCTGCTGTCGTCACACTGAGGTCAGGTAGACGGAGCGAAGATGGCGACCGCCTACCAGAGATATAATTTGTAAGTACATATAATATAGTGAATCGTTTTTAAATCGTTCTTTTCTAAGTCTGATAAAAAACAAACGAGAGGCAAAGCTCACGAGTGAGGGAAAGCAGGAGCTGGAGTTCATAAGTAGCGCTAGGTTGGATGACACAGCGGCTGGTCAGGTTAGAACAGGAACCAGTCAAGTTTCACTCAACACTTACTGTGAAGCAAACATGTTGGCATCTTTATGAACACTTGGCAGGAGACGTATACGGCTGACCATGTCTTCTATCGCCTAACGCTCCAATGAAGGGGTGTGTTTAGTGCGAACACGGTGGCACAAAGTTAGTTAGTTAACCTAGCTAGTAGCAGATGTTTGTTTGACGTTCTGGGTTAATAATCTATAATCAGGATAGTTCGACATATCCTTTCAGGGGTGTCAATGGGACTGTTGTTTTCTGACACATTGCTTTGAAACGTAACGTTACGTTCTTCATGCACTCACATGACTCACGGACCTCAGTCAGCTGTCTGTGGAGCGAACACTGACATCTGGTGAAGCTAAACGATAGCTGTCGCCAGCTAAGTTCTAACTTTTCTGAAAGTTGACAGAGCTCTCTGTACTTATCCAGACACGCACCCTGTTCAAACCGTACAGTCTATGTAACGTTACACATAGCTACAGTCCTACTGTCTGTGCCGTGTCAGCGGTAACGTCACTGTTCATTGATAGGATGGTACCACTGATGCTATCCCTGCTGTCACAGTCACATCAGATACACATGGTGAGTTTGTAAGGCTCATTTCTAAACCCCAATATATGTTCAAATAAAGGGGTTGTGTATTCCACCCGACACATCCTGGCATTGTGGAGTATGCTTTGAAACAGTATTTACACCATTTTGCACGGAGATCAACCATACAGAAAATATAATTGAATCGTATGAATATATAAGATGTGAAGATTTAGTATTGGCTCATGACCTCAGCATTTAGCTTCATCTTGGCTCCGACTCTGTTTGCTTTTCTTACCTCACTTTAAAAAGGGTCTCCAGTACAATAATGGCCCTTTGTGACTATGATTACATGATGCAGTACCACAACAAAAACATCAGGATATTCACTGTGATGGATAACTTAAGCAAGTTAGTGTAAAGCACACAAACTGTTGGGCGTGGTCCCTAAACAGTTGGTGTCTCAGTATTATACTGACTGTTGGTGTAGCACAGGCATGTGAGGTGTGGAAGGCCAACAATAGGGTGTTTGTGTGGTTGTGTCACTACAGCATTACACGTCACATTCTTCTGCTCTTGGGACTTAAGCTTGGTTACTCAAGTTGTAGCAATGATCTCTGGTCCATTTAAAGCTGCAGTTGATACATTTATTGAAAATGACCTTTTGTCTTATTTGCTAAAACTATCACTATATCGTGACCGTAGTATATGACAGAGATAATCTGTGAAAAAACATCGGGTTCCTCTGCCTCCTTTTAGTGCATTGGCAAGATTCCACTGCACCTGAAGAAATCAACCAATCAGAGCCAAGGAGTCTCTAATATATGTATATCTCAGACAACTTAGTGATTTCTTTGTCTGATGTTGATGACCCTGTATAGTAGTGACTAGAGTAAGGGTTTATGACAACCAAGGACTTAGGTCTGGTCGTTCCTTTGTAATGGAAGCAGGTTTCTGTCATTAGTACTGTTGAACTGCAAAATGGTTATGTATTACTTCTCAAATTATTAGTAGTTTAATTAATGAAATCTGAAGAAAAAAATGTATTGTTGTTATTTTGATAAAGTGTAATATTGTGTAAAATGGACACAGACAGAGGACACAATGACAGATGGAGTGTCCTTATTTCACCGATAGTGTGTGATCCTTCAACTTAGGACTTGAATGAAGAAGAAAGTGAGAGGAAGAAGGTGTTGGAGATGGCAGGATGGCTCTTTACCTTTTTAAATAGTAAAGGGTTGGTGGGCAGAATAAAGTAATCACTTTCCTCTGGCCAGGCTTGGTAGTGGACCACACAAACTTGGCCCAGGAACCCCCTTCAGCTTCCTGATTCCTGTTAAGGTCTTGGTGAAGCAGTTTTCAATGAAATGATCACCACACAGAGAAGATAACATTTTGATTAAACGTTACAACAATCAAGATGTCACTGTTTGCTGCTAGCTGTCTATAATAAAGGGCCAACACCAGGATTAATGTTACCCAAATGCTAGCTAGCTAACATTCTAGCCATAACATTCTGTTAAACACAATTATCCAAATGGTAGCTGTACATTTTGGGAACCCGGCTAAAGCGTAACGAGATCTTTCTGGTGTCCCAAGCCTCGTTTTGAAACCAAGATGGCGATGCGTGTGATGGTGTGAATATATGAATCTGAACTGTAAACATTCCAAATGTTCCCTTCTGCGGTGTATGTTCATATAATATGCCTCACCAGACTGCACCCAGAAGACATTAAAAGTTGTTCATCAATCACAATTCAATTAAATAAATCTGAATAAAACCCATTGTTTTTTTTCAATGACAGGGCATAATATTATATATTATATTTATAATCGAGCCAGCAGAGACAGTCTGCATGTTTGTTTTTTCTATAATAGCTGCCTGGCCTCCTGTCACGGCTAGCCTCCCCATATGCTAGTGAGAATCAGTCAGTGTATGTGGTTCATGAACGCAGCAGAAAAACATAGCGGAGGGCTACACAGCTAACGTTAACTGTGCATCTAGTTAGCGTTAGCTGAGACTGAAAATGTGTCACTTTCAACATGAGCTCAGTTCAAGCTTGGCAGGGAACTACAAGACTGCATCATAGATAAAGTCAGGTAGACAGTTTAACATGGATGTATTAAAAAGAAGAGGCAGACCACATTGGTAACCATCTCAGCTCTAGCTAGCATTAGAAAGCTAACAGCTCGCTCTCTATGCAGCTGTGAATGAGCATGATCTGACCTGGTTGATTCAGGGCATGACAAAATAATAAGTTGGGTCAAGTAATAGTAGCCAGTGAAGTTATTATAGTAGAATAAAAAAGTACAGGTGCTGGTATACTGTCATTTTATTCCAAAAGTCGTAACCAAAGCAAATGAAGTAAAGGTCGGGGTCAGGGCCGCTCTAAGAAGTAAAGTGAACGCACCCTTGAGGTAGGGATCGTTTCGTTGGTCAACACTTCACCTTGCATTCTGATGGTTGGGGAGTTCTGACAGGGTTATTGCACAGAAAAATCCAAGAGCAGTTGTTTCACAAGCACACAGAAGCAGAGAAGCAGCCCAAGTGTTAGGAGAAGAGCTGGAGCTGGAGCATAGGAAATCTGTGCCAGCAAGAATATATCTGAGTGCAAACAGTTTGACTGAAACAGAGCAATTCCAAGTGCAAGCAAGGGCTATTTAAGTGAGGGGACAGGGTGAGCATTACTAAATGTAATCAATGCTCTTGAATAAAGAGTACTTGGGCTCCTCTACATCTGGACACGTGGATCTAATTTTCTTTGTTGATGTGTTGGCCCTCCATATTAAACATGTCCACTTGGTTCAGTCCAATTCCTTGCTGGGGGACCATTGCTGCATGTCATACCCCTCTCTCTCTTTGTTTCCTGTTTATAATGAATATATAAAAAAACATGTTTCAACTTAAGACAGTATTAAGTGGTGGAACTCTGGCCTAAAACAAGTCGGGAAAGAATTCTTGGACATTATGATAAACGTGTAGGTGCTTGTAATTGCAAAGGACACATACAAAGGCTGCTCATGAATAAAGGCTGGGTAAAAAGCATTTAGAGCTGGAATTACCTGTACCCTAACGTCTCACATGATAAACTAAACATATTGTTTATTTCCACAGCAAGTATTCCATCAGTGCACTCTCACTGTCTCTTTAGAATACAAATACGAACGTGATCGGTTAATACTACTCAGACTACAAACGGAAACCAGAATGCTTCCAATTCCAAAATCTTGTCTGTTTATAGAGGTTAGAAATAAGTAGTATGACATGACTCTGTTGTTGTACTGATGGAATCACTGCTGTGGAAATGTATATTGATTCAATTAATAAAGACAAATTAAATTGGGAACAGATAAATAAAAAGGGGAAATGTATAACTATGAGGAAACATGGCTGGTTCCCAATAAGAGAATTTTCTTGTACCCACATTCTGCATTCACAATGGTATCCTCTTCTGTAAGACATTCCTGTCTTGACTAAGAGAGAGAATCCCAAATAATTTTCTGTAGCACATTGTGAGGCTTGGTGAACCTGAATAAACGTGTTCAAGCTGTTTATCCCTGGATAAAAACTCAACTTTAATTCAACTCCCTTCTTCTTTCCCAGGCACACAACCCCAGAGAAGTTCTTCATAGAGGCCTGCGATGAGGGGGCTGATGCTGTGCTGGCAATCGACAGGGTCTCAAATGAGATGACCCTCAAAGGTAGAAAGTCTGACAGTTCATTGACAAAGACGCTTTAAGCTCTGGTTGAAAGCTCTCACCACCTTTGAACCCTCAGCTTTAAGCTTTGTTTTCACTCTTCACATGTATTGACTGCATACTATAGATTTTCTTTGCTCAGAATACATCAAAAATATAAAAAATGTACCTTACAGCTAGCCATCAATTACCATTATCAGGAGCGTGTTTGGTTATCGGCAAATATAAAAAAAATAAATTATTGACATCAATAGAATTATTAATGTCAATAAGATTATTAATAATTACAGTGCACCACCCTGAGATCAGGGACCAATAACCAAACTATAATCAATTACCAACAAACAATCTATGGTTTGTGTGTGTCGTCTCGTACGTGACCAAGCCATGCGAGACTACAAAATGGCGTTTTGGAGAGAAAACTATGAAAATGGTGGATGTAGTTTCAACGACAAAAACGGCGGAAGAGAGATAGGACAACCAAAATGGCGGGTGTAGTTTTGTATGTGATCATGCAACGCAAAACTACAAAAATGGCGGTGGGGCCACGATAGAGGCCACGTTTGCACACCATGTGTGTCTGAGATGAGTTGCAAAGCCTGTGTGTGTGTTTGTGTATGTGTGTGTGTATGTGGGTTAGTTAAACAATAAAGGAAAAATAAAAAACGCTCAAAACAAGGCAGATCATCACCGTCGCAGTAAAATACAGGAACTGTTTCTCTCTCACACAGAAACCCGACTGGGGCACTCGGCACTGGTCTTTTAACTGATAAAGTTAGTTACCAACCTCACTTGCTGTGACTACCGAGTGGATTCCTCGGAAGTTAAGGGAATTTTCTTCCTTACGACGAGCAAATGTCGACTTTAACAGGAAGAGAACGGCGCATAGAAGTTATCCGTTCTCTTCTTCAGGACCAAAAAACTGTCTATTGTTTATCCAGCGACTGTAGAACTATTCCTAGGTTTTCTTGAAAGCAACAACGTTGTTCGAATCACGTGGGATGGCACAGAGCTGTAGGTAGCGCTGGTTTTTATAGCCTCAGTGATGGCAGGGCTGTAACACTGGGAGCCCCCCCCCCTGTGGAGCCTGTGGCCCTCGTCCAATGAGACCTTAGCGTCGAGTTTGGACCAAAAACCACACGTAGGTGAGATTTAACGTCTGGTTGGGCTTGGTGTGACTTTAAATCAGGCTGTTGAACCATGTAGGCCTAACTCTATTTGTTCCAACCGTACGGTGAAGTCCCAACAGCATGTAAGGGGTACATGTTCTAGCTTCATCAGAATCAGAACCGTTTATTGCCATGGTATGTTGCACATACAAGGAATTTGTCGTGGCAGGTGGTGCATAACATTTAACAATCAACACAGTGCAAGAAATAGAAACATATTAAAATTTACAATAGAGTATAAAATAAAGTGCATAACAAACAGATAGCAGTACTATAAACAAGTAAGTTGAAGTGTAATGTCAAGTGTGTTTAAATAAAGAAACCTTGAAGGGATGTGCAGGGCAGTGACCGGTAAGAAATTGTCCTGGGGGTGTAAGAGTCAGAGTCAGTGGGGGTCCTGGGCTTTGTTGATGAACCCGACTGCAGAAGGGAAGAAGCTGTTCGTGTGGCGTGAGGTCTTGGTCCTGATGGACCGCAGCCTCCTGCCAGATGGAAGGGGCTCGAACAGTTCATGTCCAGGGTGAGAGGGGTCGGCTACAATCCTTCTTGCTCGCTTCAGGGTCCTTGACGCGAACAAGTCCTGGAGGGACGGCAGATTGTAGCCAATCACCCTCTCAGCAGAGCGAATGATACGCTGCAGTCTGCCCTTGTCCTTGGCTGAACAAAAAAGTTTAACACAATCTCAAAGAGTTTTTTTTTCCCTGTATTTCAACATACAGTAAATATCTGTATAAATGGACAAAGGAGAGTGTCATATGAGAACCATTGGATGGAATGATGGTACTGTCAAGAAGTTTACTGATGAAGCTTGATGGTAGATTTATCAAATTCATATTCAAACCTCTCCCAACTCTTGAGCTTCACTACGGACATTTTTGACTTCTTGATTTTGAATTTTTCCATCATTTTGGCTGTGTTTATGCATATGACATTCATATCCAGTAAGTCTATGATACACTGTGTAGCCAAAATACAGACACTCAGACCCTTAAGGACAAAAATGTCCCACTGAAACCCGTTTATAACCACATTATTTGATCCCACTGCCATCACAGTATAACATCATGTTATATGATTTCATGTCAGGCTGTCATTATATACCCCTGGCTTTAATAATGTAGTTGTTACTATTTTTCATCAGACTGAGCCTGTTTCTCATGTTTGCCCTCTGGGGCTAATACATGCTATTTTCCTGGTTTTCGTGTTGGTGTTGTTGCTGCTGTATTGTGCTGCAATGTCTGATGCTATGCATCATAATCAATGCTGTAGCTAATTAATCAGACTTTATAACAGCCAAAACAAACAAACAAACTGAGTAAACGCTAGCACAAATATCATCAATATGAGGTGAGAAAACCCCAGAGGTAGGATCTGAAATAGATAACGCTCAACTAAAGCCCGACTTAAAAACGCTAGTTATTGACATTTCCCTGACTGAAAAATAAATTAATTTTCTGCCTTTTTTTCATAAAAACAACTGTGGCATTATTTAACCAAAAGGGTTAAAATTCTGAAAATGAATAAATATTCGTAGTTACGATTAGAACTTTTGTTAAACATATACCCACTAAATCACTATGGAGGTAAAAATATAAGTTGTATATACATTTGTTTGTCTTATCAATCTTTCTGACAATTAATAGTTGAGTCACATTACCAGGAAGTTTATAAAGATAAATTAGAAAGTGAAATTTGCAGCGCTTTGATAAAGCATGTAACTTGTGAACCGTTGCGGTGCTTTCCCAGGTAAAAAAGACGTCCCCCCCTCAGCGGTCACCAGACCTATATGTGGCATCATGGGAACCGTCCGCCTGGTAGCAGGTAGGTACCGTGGTGTGGTCAGTGCTTTGTTAAACATGTCTTTGAAGCCTGTGCGGTAAAACAGCTTTGACTGCCCACTTCCACCACACAGGGATGTACCTGATAGTCATCACCAGGAAGAGGAATGTGGGCAGCCTCCTGGGCCACGCTGTGTGGAAGGCTGTGGACTTTGACGTGATCTCTTACAAGAAGACTGTGCTGCATCTCTCAGAGATCCAGGTCAGCAAGACTATTCTCTCAAAATCTGCAAAAGACAATGCTTCTAACGGTCTACACAATACATTGAGCTGCAGAGTCACCCTTTAGAAATGTTGGTGCTGGTGTTTCCATGCAGGCACTGCTTAAGTACAACCTGAAGTATTCTTATTTCAAAAATAACTTTTAATGTACTAGCTCTGTCAGAAGAGAAACGCAACATTTATTTGAATGATTCCAAAGCTGTCTTAGTCCCAGCTGGCCTGGATCGCAGTTTCCTCTGCTTCCAGGACCAATCTCTGGACTGGACACGATCAAATGAAACTCTTCTGACTCTGGGTGAGATGGGTTTCACAAAATGTTGCTATGTATTTTACTTGGAAAAACTTCTGAAAGCTTGGTTTCAAATCTTAAATATTTCTCAGCAGCATGAAATATTTCTGACTGAATAAGCAACAATGTTATTTACTAAGAGTGTAACAGTCTGATCTGCTTCATCTGGACTGGGTGGGTGTGGTTTGATCAGATTTGATTGAGAAAAGAAAACAACCTCACAACTTTCATCACATTTTGATTCAGAAGTTGTTAAATCATGATTGGTGCACTAAAATATATAACAAGACATGTTTTTTTTCTTGCTGAGCCCTGTAACTCTTTAAAGCAGTAATGGGAGTACAGACAAAAGTATAATACAGAAAATCTCTCAACTCCAAATTAAATTCATTATCCACTTTCATTTATGAAGCAGATAATAAAATGAAACCTTTTTAGGGTTTAAGCTTTCACTGCATTTCAAGAGATATATTTTATTTCTTTAAGTCATCCACAACGATTAATATGTGTTGTGTATTATCTTTCAATAGCCTTTGGGAATTATCTTTATTAAAGATCAGATAGATTACTAGTTCATATTTGTTGATCCACGTTGAAAAACACTCTGTTCTGCCAACTTGTACGAGTGAGACCTCATGTTTCAGGATCTTTCTTCACACTGCTATCTAATTTCAGTGTAGCAGGCAGTGCATTATTTATCTGCCGCTGCCTCTATTCCCTGGTATTGTAATTGATAGAGCAGCCTTGGCTGAAAACTTTGTGCTTTATGGTAAAACATTGTGTGGACTGTAGGACTACTAAAGGACTGTAGGACTACTAAAGGACTGTAGGTTTTAGTAGCAAGTACAAACTAGTCCAAGTATGAGGACTGGTAGAACAGGATGGCACTGATCTAGTGAGAGGAGGGTAGGAAAGCAGATGGAGTGAGTGAACAGTGGAAGGTGGAGGTGTAACTTCAGTCTCCACTCTCTGTGCTAACTGGCTTAGCAGACACATCCTATTAGCCCAGCAAAGATGCATGACAGTCAGATCTGTTTGTTTCCTCTTCAGAAGACTGAAGAGCAGCAGCATAACCTGTCAAAAAGAGACCTACCCTTCACCAAGCCCCTCAGCTACTGTTGCTACGCCTGTCAAGCTATTGACGGTGATAATGATGATGTATTTATTTCGAAACAATGGGTCCTTGATTTGAGACGGAGGGAAGGAAAAGCCCTTTCTCATTTCTAGTTGCCCACTGTCCTCGTCAGCTGAACTGACATCAAAGGGACATGTTGTCAGCTGTAGCCAGCTAGTTTACTCTCTGACTTACTTTCTAATCTTTCTAGCTGACTCGTTTTAAAACTAGAAATTATGAAGAATGAAATATTCACATGACGGCTACATACATGAGGCCATGCTAAAAGGCTAAAGCTAACCGGTATTATATTTAATTATAAATAAAAATGTAAAGATATTTCCAAAGCAACTTTCCCAATTCCAAATTTAAATGAGATCCTCATCAAAAGGAGGTAGTTAATGGCTTGCTTCGTGCTCATCAAAGACTTACATTTGTGTGATCTGAAAATATATATAAACCATTTCGATTCGACCACCTTTTCTTCTAGCAGCACCCTCAGGGCCCTGGAAGTGGTCAGGCTCCAACAGGGTGATACGGGCCAAAAATCATATCTCATTTCTACCGTATGACAGGGTTGAGCTGACTGTTTTAATTCAATACATACAATATATTCATGCTATTTTTAACAATGTGGTGTTCTGCATTACTCATCTAAAGGGTTACTGTGTAATTCATGTTACCTTGTTAAACAGTATAGACTTATGTTGGATCCCATCATATGTTGGTCTTGAGGTGCTGCAGTGTTTATTGGTATACTAACTGACACCTACACTGTATGCTTACTACCAGCTGACAACATGACTGTCTCTGTCTCTCCACAACACGCTGCTCTTAAAACATGCTGCACATCACCTCACAAAGATCTGACCATGTTTGAATCACATACACAGACACAGGGAAATATACATTTTATGGTGGAAGTGGATCAGCTGATTGATGGCTGGCGACGTTTCCAGCAGAACATTGCCAGACCTATTTTGAAAAAGCAATGGCCGACGGTGTAACGTCATATCTCAGTCAGTCACTCAGTGGGAGAGGTTTGCATGCAGACACAGAGGGAGAGTGGGGGAGGTTTACATGCAGACACAGAGGGAGAGTGGGGGAGGTTTACGTGCAGACACAGAGGGAGAGTGGGGGAGGTTTACATGCAGACACAGAGGGAGAGTGGGGGAGGTTTACATGCAGACACAGAGGGAGAGTGGGGCGGGTTTGAGAAGATACAGGTTGTGAAACGCAACATCAAACTATGGATACAAACGGTTTTGTCTCGTCCTACATCTCGTTTGAAAATATATCGATATACCTTACAAAGTCGATACACTGCCCAGCCTGACTACTTTAACAGTCCCACTCTCAACTTGAATGTTTTACTAGTTAGTAATACTAACCTGCGCAGATGGTCCATGCAGGGAGGTATTCTCATCTCAATGTGGGTGGAAGAGAGAGCTGCTATCAGTATTGGCACATACTAGAGTGAAGGAATCAGGAAAGAGAAGGTTGGATCGGTGCATCCCGAACACACAGCACCAGTATAACATGAGTATGCAGTTCTCTGCAAAGTGCATCGTCTGTTGAGTTTGCTGAGTACTAAAAGTCTGTTGTCTTTCCGCCTCTAGTCTCAGGAGAATAAGACTTTCCTGTCCATGATAAACAATGTGCTGATGACAGACGGCTTCTACTTCTGCACTGACTACGACCTGACGCACACTCTGCAGCGGCTGGCCAACACCAGCCCTGACTTCCAAGAGATGAGTCTGCTGGAGAGGGTGAGACATCCAATCAGTTGCCTCGCAGAGTTTCACACTATTTTCTTCTGGTCTGAAATGCCCAAATAGACCCTGGAACAGAAGTGATTTTCTGTATCACATCTGTTTTTGTGGCTTGTATGCATGTATACGACATATCAACAATACAGGGACCCACATATCAAATTTGACTCTACAGAGCGACTAAAAAAATCTCAAAAGATTGTGAGGGATAAATCAGGAGCCAGGCAATGGGTGATATCCTGTTGTTTTCTTATTGTGAGCAAATCCCATATGCATGAGCCATAGAACTCTGTTCAAATCTCATCAATTTGCTTGCTGTTGTTCCTTCATTACCATGAACACACACACACTGTAGTTTATTCTCACTCAATCCACAATACAAATACTCACTAGAGCACCAAATGTGGATTAATCCGCCACTAAAAATAGTCCCCAATAAATGCACAATTTCCTCCTGTTTGAGTAAAGTCTGCTGAGATCTAAAGAGACCAGCTGTTTCAGGGAATTACTGAGCCTTTACCTTTAACTATATACTGTATATACTCGGTTGTCAGTTTACACCTGGATAAAACTCATTCAGTCAAATTCCACAGTGAAACTATTCGAGAGATGTTGATTCAACTGTATTTACATATTTGTATACTGACAGGTGTTTCTATTATTTTGTCCACCCCATTTATATTGACGAGGGTAAGCTAAATAACAGAAACACCTCCTGTGTGATGCAGTACAGTGCAACAGCAACACAAACTGCATTCTCCAACATGACCACACAGTGTAATCATCTCATTAAAATAGTTCCAGATGTGAATGTGAAGCACATTCACATCTGATTATTCACATGGAGTTCAACTCTGGTAAACTTTCACCTCCACAGCCAGTGGTCACTGGCCTGCATTCACACATGTGTGATGGTACCTTTGACTGCAAAAGTTTTAGCTAGGTGTACCTAATAAACTGGAAGCTCTGTGTCATTGTGAGTTCAGTAGGAACCAATGGGCTTGGGGCTGAGAGCTACAGATAGGAAGTCAGAGAGAAGTGAGGGACTGACAGTGTTGTTTTTGGTCTTTGCTTTTGATTTGTTTACAATAACAAAAATATAGTTCTTTGTTAGTTTGTAAATGGTTTGTACAAGATCATAAGGTAGTGGAGTTTTCTATGTACATTGTTTACACAAATATGTGACAATGCCGAAAGGATTGCCTAAATTACTGCTCAAATGATTGACGTATAATAGTCTTTATCAGGCACCCGCCCATTTGATTCTGATTCAGAGGGCTATTACGATTGGAAAACAAAAATGTTTGATTTCTATACATTTGTTTTTCTCACTGTGGGACTACTTGCTACTTTTAAAACATAGCGTGTTTATAATCATCCATAATTGAAATAAACATAAATGTGCTTCCATTGTCCATTATTAATACAATCTGTATAAGATCCTGCATCTAAGCATCCATTTCCCCACCCCCAGTACGTACATTGTTTATCCATCATTTTTGATTCTATTTAGTTCTTGGTAAGCTAATGCTGATCATGATACACATGATCATTGTGATAAAGAGGATGAATAATGTGTTGATAAATGACATGGTGTTTCTTGTGGTTTTCAGGCAGATCAGAGGTTTGTGTGGAATGGGAACCTCTTGAGAGAGCTGGCTGCACAGCCAGAGGTAAGACTGCTCACCCGTTTGTTTTTCACTCCATGTTTTTCTACTTATTTCATTACAATAACTGTCACTGTTTCCCCATAGCTTCATAAGTTTGCACTTCCTGTGGTCCATGGATGTATCCTTTTTACTAAATCTAATATCTGATGTTTTCTAATGGAGCATGAGGCATCTCATCTGATCTACAACACACGGTAGATAAGATGAGATCAATTCCTGAGCAAAGCCTTTCCTTGACCCTCCTGGTGCAGTCATCGTCATGAAGCCGTGTCGTATAAACGGAAAGATCTTTGAGTGGATCCTCATATCCAGGAGGAGCTGCTTCCGGGCCGGCGTCAGATACTACGTTCGAGGTAAACCCCCTGTTGCATGACACCGCCTCTTTGTTGAACTGCAATATGAAGGTACAACAGAAGCTAATGTTGTCCGCCTCACTGCTGACACTCTGTCCTGCTGCCTCCAGGCATCGACTCTGAAGGCCATGCTGCCAACTTTGTGGAGACTGAGCAGATAGTTCTGTATGAGGGAGCAAAGGCTTCATTTATACAGGCAAGTATGACAGCCGGCCCTGTTAAAGACTATGTGGCTCATTGGTACCTGGCCTTTTCTACGTTTTTCTGTGCAACATTTTGTCCAAAAGTTAAAGCATTCAAGTTTGAGAAATGCATATTTCCCTTTGTTTTTCATCCCCAGACACGAGGCTCCATCCCCTTTTACTGGAGTCAGAGGCCCAACCTCAAATACAAACCTAAACCTGTCATCAACAAAACCACCAATCACGTAAGAGCAGGTGTTTTCCTGTTTCTGTGTGCTTTTTAATAGTGAGGTGTGAAAATGCTAACCATGTGAAAACGTTGTATAGATGGATGGTTTCCAGAGGCATTTTGACTCTCAGCTCCTCATCTACGGGAAGCAAACTATTCTGAACCTGGTGAGGATCCTTAGTCAAGCTCTTTCCCTTCTTTCTTTGAAAGGAAATATCAGCAAGTTCTTCTGAGGCCAATTTGTGTGTTTTTCCAGGTGAACCAGAAGGGCTCCGAGAAGCCACTAGAGCAGGCCTTTGCCAAGATGGTGTCTGGCATGAACAATGGTATGCTCAAGTAAGTGTCCCTCCATGACTTCACTGAGAACATGGTCCCTTATGACATCATTCAGGTTACTCAGAGAAACCAGGTTACTGGACCTGGCTACTGTACATCTGTGTATACATATTTCATACCTGTGACGTTCTTCTGGAAGAGCAGCTTTCCTCTTTTCATACATTCATGTCAGTGTTTTCAAAACAGTTTGATATTAAGCCAGTCAAGCCTGTTCCAACAGCGGTCTGGTCTGGAGTACCGATTGTTACCACTAGGTGTCAGACTTGACTCAGTAATTGAGCTTCATCGCTCATGATGAGCATCTGCTAGTCAGTGTAACAGAGAACATAATAGAGGAGGAGGATTTGATGCTCTGCCATGTCTCATCCATTCAGTCAGAAAATGTACTTTCTAGTAAACAAACATTTCTCCCCGCCCACCTCTCAATGTCATCTCCTTCATGTTGGCAGTAAATTGCACATGTCTTGTCAGACAGTAGTGGCTCTGTTACTCTGTTTATGAGCAAACATAATACTGTGTTAATCATGTTTTTATATTGCTTATAATCAAAAGGAATACTAGTTTGATTTAGCAGTGTGACGGCATCAGCGCAGGTTGCTGATGTAGGTTGTGTCGTAATGAAAAAGGTGGGGGCTGTCAGGTTGTATAAAATCAAACCTGTTTAAGCTCATACACCGGACTGGACCGGCAAACCGGCACTCAACCCAACTCTATTGTGTATCTCTGTTTCCAATATAAATGTTAGTGAGATCTGTGTTCTCCTGGAGAAATCCACCTGGCTCCCACGTAGACCCCACAGAAAGAGTTTGTCTGTTAAAGCCACATACGTATACACTGATCTTAATAATTACTACGATATCTATCAGTTGATTGTTAACATATTGTGAATTATTATAAAGGAGAATTAGACAATTAGCCCACACAGTCTGTAAATAGCTAATCATATTTAATACCAACTGATAGAATCATCAGACCTTATCTACTTTTTGATTGATTTATTGACACCTTCACTGTAATGTTTATCAAGTCATGCCACAATGAATGTTAATGTAAATGAAGATAATGTATCAGTCCTTCATTCATTAAGTCCATGAACATCTGTGTTGATATAGAAAATCCTTTGCTTTCAGTGCTTTGTAATTCTTACTGAAGTAGCCCGTCTAATGAAGATCCGCTGTCTGTGCAATCAGTGCAATTATTTATGTATTTTGTCATCAATTGTTTAGCTAATATTTACTCTCTATCAACATGCTCACATTGTTTTGAAGTGCAGGCTAGTGGTCATAAAATAGGGAATGTTGTTAAAGGTGAACTATGACCATTATCTCAATTCATACACAGTCCAAGAATAGTAGTGAACATGAACCACTCTCTACCAAATCCATAAACTAGAGACTAAAACTCAGATTTGTGATGTCATCCAGTCTAAAGTGTGGAACCGGAAAGATGTTCTAGATGACACTGAGCACCAGGGGAATGTTTATGGCTCCATCTTCTGTTTCACAACTGACAACACTGCAATAGAACAAAGCTCATTTGGGTATTAAAAAAAGAAAACGCCACCAAATAAGTGTCCCCTTCATCATCTATGGAGCAGCTGCACACTTTCTACAAGATGACATCACCAGTTTGAGACTGACTTCTCTGCTTTCTGGCTTTGAGAGAGATTAGCTCATGTGTAAGCATATTGATAGAGCTTTCCTCAGCCATAGAGTTAACATGTCTGAATTCTTATTTTTTTTTAGGTGTTCTCCGTTGATCTAAACTATTTTATTAGAATATTAAATGACTGTAATGAAGTAGCCGGCTGAGCCAGCAGCGGTTGTTTATGGAAAGCTGTGCTGTTGTTACATGTTTTATAATTATGCTGGGTGTGCCAACTTGAGATTTAGATGGTATAGGAACATCTGGGCACACCTGTTGTTGCTGCTACTGCTGCTAGGGGAACCAGGCTTCTCTAATCCCCCAGCCCGATCACAGAAACCAGGTGTGAGAAATCATCTTCCTGGAGAAAGCCGGCTGTAACACAGTTACATTTGTTTAGTTTGGTAGACACCTTCATTTTTCATCTATCTCTCGTTAGAAACTGTAAAGACGACATCTAGTTCTGCCACTTCTGTAACAATGAATGCTGAAGACATCTCCTCCTAATCTAACTATGACACTATGACATTGTGTCCTCTTTCCTCAGTTACATCGCCTTCGACTTCCACAAAGAGTGCAGCCACATGAGGTGGGACCGTCTCCAGATCTTAGTGGATGATGTCGCTGAGACGCAAGATCAATACAGGTAACTTCACCAGCATCTGTTCGGGGCTAATATCTGTTGTGTACTGTGTAGGAATATTCAGACCTTTCTCTGTGTGTAGTTACTTCATGGTGAACCCAGACGGGAAGACGGTGGCCCAACAGAGAGGACTCTTCCGCAGTAACTGCATGGACTGCCTGGACAGGACCAACGTCATCCAGAGCCTGCTGGCCCGACGCTCCCTTCAGTCTCAGCTTCAGGTATTTTGAACCTCACTACCGCTCAGCCTTTTTAGAATCGAGGAGTAAATCCCATGTATTCACTCATGTCATGTTATTTTGGAAAGATGCAGGTTATTGAATTTAACATCCTGAGTCTTCTTCTATGTAATGTGCCTGTGTGTGCACAGAGGATTGGGGTTCTGAATGTAGGTCAGCGGATTGAAGAGCAGGCCGAGTTTGAAAAGATCTACAAGAACGGTAATGTCCTCTGTATGCTCGACTGTAAGCATGTGTTGTGTGATGAGTAGAAGTGAGCCCTCACTGTTCTCTGTGTGTGCTCTAACCAGCATGGGCTGACAATGCCAATGCATGTGCTGTTCAGTACGCAGGAACTGGAGCCTTAAAAACAGACTTCACAAGGTACAGTCTGTTACATCCTACACCACACATCAGTTGACCGTGTTGTTTTCTGGATCCCCCGTGCACTAGTTTAATAACCTGATGTCTCCATCAGGACGGGGAAGAGGACCAGGTGGGGCCTGCTGATGGACGGCTGGAACTCAATTATCCGCTACTACAAAAACAACTTTTCTGATGGATTCAGACAGGTATGATGTCTATGACAGGATGTGTTGTAGATTCATCATCATTGAAATAAGTGGGAAACTTAATTACCAATATTCAGTAGACTACACTAACACAAAGCTGCCTTGAATTTGGCAGTGAAGACAAAAAGATATCTGCACACCTTCACGACAGCAGAATCTCTTTAACCAGATTGTGGTTAAATGTTCAAGTTGCATTGACTCGTTGAAAGATAGACGAGAATCCACAGACTACTTTAGTGCTTCTATTTCCTGTTCATCTCACACTATCAGTTCCAATCTATACATAGCAAGCTTTACCACTTTAACCTGTCATGTTTCACATTTCAATGAAGCTGTTGATGAAATGAGCCCCAATAAGAAAAGAAATCTGATTTAGAATGGTGTGATGAGTCCAGTCAGGGTGTCCATGTGGTTTTGTTGCTTTCAGGATTCGATTGACCTGTTTCTCGGTAACTTTGCTGTCGATGAGTCTGACGGACCCACTCCTCTTCGTGTGCAGAAGGACTGGAAGTTCCTCACGGTCAGTATATCTGCATTGTCCCTCTCATCAGCAGCAGCAGCAGTTCATGTGACTGTTAGTCTAACCCAGTGGTTCTCAAACTTTTTCTGTCGCGCCCCACTTTGGAGGAAGAAAAATGTTCATGCCCCACCGCCCCAACAAAATTGTAACAAAATGGTCTATGTTGAATTTTTATTGAAATAACATTTTGTGACTCCTCCGTCTGTGCCTTTTCAAATAATAGAATAAAGAAAATTGCAATCACTTTTAAGTAAACCAGATTGCTCCATCAGACAAAAACAAATACAATGTGCAATCACTTTGTTAGAACAATGCAAATAAAGTTCTATATGTGCAAAAAAGAACTACAATTTGGCAAAAAATAGCTTATTGCAATTGGCTGCAATTAACCTGTTTTGCACTAAACATCTTTTCAAGATAACAATAAAGTGCAACCTGTGAAAAACTAAACAAAACAAGTTTCATACTATCCCCAGCTAGAGTTTTCAGACATAAAACACAGATTGGTTTCCTCATCTCCTACCACGTTCACTGTGAAACCCAGAGCAAGATAGGCGTCATCATATTTTCTTCTTGGCTGTTTGCCTCGGATACACCGCTTGCGGTTGCTTTTCTGTTCCCGCCTGCCAAATGTCTCTTCATTTGGAACACTAAGCCACACATGTGAGTCGCCAAGGATCATGGCCGTCGCGCATGTGCAAGCGTAACCTGTTAACGGCGTAACGTAAACATTTACACGAAAGTACAGGCATTTCGCCATGTATTTATTCATTACTTAAAAAAAAAAAAAAAAAAAAAGATTTCTGCATTTCCCCCTGTGCCCCACCTGTAATACCACCGCGCCCCACTAGAGGGGCGCGCCCCACAGTTTGAGAACCACTGGTCTAACCTTTTGAATTCTGCTCTTTTTGCAGCTGCCCATCATTATGCTGGTGGCATTTTCTATGTGCATCGTCTGTCTTCTCATGGCCGGTAAGTTCTTCTCTGCCTGTCAGCGTACACTTTTATCATCTCTGTTGGTTCAGTCCATCAGGGCTGAAATCTTATTCTACTAACTTCTTTAAAGCTACAGGAAATTGTAATTTGTGAATGAATAGGTCTTAACATTGTTAGTGGCGTTGCTATCAGCTCATAGAAATGTTATCAATGGCTATTTATTTCTTCCCTGTTGACTTTGTTAAGTTATACTTAGATATGCTATGCTATACACGACATCTGTTCAAACTTACATTCTTCTCCCGGTAGAATGAACTTAACAGTTGAGAATAGTGACTTTTGTCTAGTAATAACACAAGTGAATATCACAAGGACTATTACAGAAGAAAACCTGTCAATAGACCCTTCCTAAGTCCCGCCCCCTTTCGCTATGTGCTCCAATAACATTTGAGCAAGCTTGGAACTCTGCAGAACCTCAGTCAATGTTCCCCTTTCCTGTTCTACTTAGATATGCTATGCTATATACGACATCTGTTCAAAGCTAACATTAGGAAGTCAAGTCACTTAACATTGGTGTCACAATCTTCACGGGCACATTACATTCTATATAGTCAGATTTTAAGTTATCTAATGTTAGCAACGTGACCAATGACTGTTCCACTGAGTCTACACAGGCTATGTAGCCACAGCAGCAGCTCCACTCCTCCGTCTGTGTCGACACAGATGCAGAGGAGCAGCACAGTACAGTCGGTCAGCCCGACACACAGCCGCTATAGTGTTCAGTGTAAAACCAAAGAAATAGACGTCTGTGTAGACTGTATTCATTCAAATAGAAGTGAATCTGGTCAGATGTGTGTGAGATGGACGGCCGCGGCTGAAGCACCTTTAGCTGAAGAGCTTCAGGAGACCGCTTCTTGTGGTTTTGACAACCAGAAAAAATGACTGCAATTTGTCTTGTAGGTGACACGTGGACAGAGACCCTGGCCTACGTGCTGTTCTGGGGGGCTGCTAGTGCCATCACAGCCACTATCATCCTTTTCAATGGCCAAGACTTTGTGGACGCCCCCAAACTGGTTCACAAGGAGAAGCTGGACTGAGTGTGTGTGTGAGTGTGTGTATGTGAATGTGAGGAGTGTCTGTAGTCTTCTTCCCCAGGTCTGGACTCCAGACTGATCTGCTGCCTCCATTCTACCCTCCACACCTGTTTGTCTACAACATCTTTTACCTTCTTCAGTTGTTCTGCACACACTCTGTCACATGGTCTACCTTATAGTTACATACTGTATCTTGAGGTTGGTTCTTCTGGTTTGTTGGTTTTGTTGGTGTTATGTTGTCAGTTATACAGAGACTGTGATGGCACTTTACTTTACTGTTTCAATTTTCTTTAGTTTCCTTTAGAAAAAACAATGTATAACACTACTGCTCATTTTCTTATTCCTTTACCATTCTTAAAATGTTAAATGTCATAATGCTATAACAAGCATTTTTCTGTTGTGCTTCAGTACACGCCTTTTAGTGAAAGGTCCTACACACCCACATCCGTGTTTTCATTACTCTGGCTGAGTAGACCTCCAGTCAGGGGGAAGTTTGGTGGAGCTATGCTGAAAATGTCATGATGTCACCAAACTCTATGGACCAATAGAAATGATGGAGCTTGTAAGATGTCCCGCCCTAACGGGTCCAATGAAACCAACAGAGGAATGAAGGAGGTGTTACGTGCAGTTTGGACATCTTTTTGAACTTGTGGGCAGAACCAAGCTGAGACACTATGAAGTTGATGTGGTGAACACCTCTGTTTGTTTGGTGTAGGGCCGCTAGTGTACACAGAGTTATCAGAGCTTTTTCACTGTAAGAAGCTGCCTGCTGCTTTTTGCACTGTAAAACCAAAACAATGAGCTGAAAGAAGCACAAAGCTCTGTAATGCTTCAGAGATGCTGATAATTCTGTGTTCATCACCAGAGATTCCGTGCTTTATGGTTAGATGGACCTTTCTTATTCTAGGTAGCTAGCTACATATGTAGGAAGACAACAGCCCTATTCTTAATTCTGCCCACAAAGCTCTGTTCTAGGGATAAAACAGCCGACCTTTTTGAGTCTCTTAACAGATGGGAGATGTGAGCATCTCATCGAGGTCTGGAGCCACATTCGTTTCTCAGTCAGAACAATTAGCCTGTAGCACTTTTTACCGTCATGGTCTATGTCCATCGCCGTGTCCCTGGGTTGATCCATGGCAGCATGCAATGTTGTCAGTAAATGTCAGTAAATTCTTCACATTGTGGCTTTGATTGTAATGTTACCTGGAGATATCACACGTAGTTCTGGGGTCATCAGCACTTCAGTGTCTCCATTATGTTGAGAGAACAGGCGTCTGGTGTTCATGGTGTGTCCATGTGGGCTTCATCATGCCACTCATGTTTGAAAGGAAGAGGGCCTATGCACAATGTTACCATTCTGACCTCCATTTGATATCTTTATATTGCAATTTCTTATTCTAGCAGTCTTAAAAACTAGTGTCATGCTGTATCTTGAGAATACCAGATAATTATGTTGTGGTGAAGTCCGAACACTTTATCTCCAGATGATCATTAACAGTGATTCAATTGCATCTCAGACCTAAAAGCGCATTAGTAACCAGAGGCTCCACAGTTTACAGTTTCCCGTGCACCGTGGTTCAGTTTCCTCAGAGGATTGATGATTTTGCTTTGACACTCAGATGTTAATTAAAGATGGAGCCTACGATAGTCTTCTTTAGCAGTCTGGCCCCCCTGCCTTCTTATTCTGTGTATTACTTCACATGCAGGATGTGTGCTGTTAGTTGTCCATGATGTGTTCAAGATCATTCCTGCAGTGTAAACATGATCTCATGTATCCGATCAGAACTACTAGTGGTAGGCTACAATACATTAGGTGAGTGATTGATTTGAATTTAGTCAAATGTTTATTTAGGCATGACCATGCTAGCATTTCCAAGAGGTTGTTTCCTTCTGATCTGAACTATGTAACTTTGTGTAACAGTATAGGTCAAAGTCCACTTACTTCTGGAGTCCTAAAGTCCCCAAAAATAGTCTTTAAATCTTGTGCACACAAGAAAAGAACTTGTGAACAATAAAATATATTTTGTGAACAGGATGATGTGTAAACAAGATAAGTGTGTGTAAGAAAGAGCTGTGTGGGAACAACATAACCTATGCACATTCATATGTTGTCCAACAAGACAATAAAGTGCAAATAAGATCAAACATGCACAAAATATATGGTTCTCTTATTTACTCAACCTAGTTTGTGTGATAAAAGACAACTTGTGACTTGAGGTTAGCTAGACTTTCGATGCTCTTTGTACGTTGTTGTGGCGCTGCTAGTGAGCTACAGTAGTAAGTGGACCTCGAGCAAAGTTTTTCTGTTAAACTAATTTTTACAGGAACATCTGGTATGTAATGTGTGCAGTGGAGGTGAAATCTGTCTCATGGACATGTTCTTGTAATTCCTTTTACATTTTACAATGAGAGTTGGATGTAATACAGTATCATTTGTCAGTGGAAGTGCTGACGGTCATTCAGCAGCACCTTAGTTGAAGTATGCTTGGCCATGTTACCCCATCATCATAAGAACAGATCTGTCCACTGTGTGCTGCTGCAGGTTCCACAGGTTCTAACAAGCTGCTGCACTGAGGTGTGCGATGCGATATGTGGTGTAACATGACTAGCTCACTTTACTGTGGGCCCTTTGCTCTTTCCTGGGGATTTAGGGGTTTAGAAATTTATTTATTCTTCTTCATTTAAGGAAATCAAATAAATATCCAAGCGTTCAAAATGAAACACTTTAAACATCTTTTTGCAAGTTGTACTTGGGATCATTCAGTTTATGTCCACAACATTGGACTTGATTAGGAAAGGCACACACCTGTCTATATAAGACCTTA